CCTAGTAATTCTGAGTGAAGTGACTGAAATAGCAGGGTGGAAGCAATGGTGATGCCAACCTCCTTGGTTTTGGCTTGCCCACCTGGGGATGACACATTTAACTCTTTTAGCAAATCCAAGGTGGGAGTGGCAAGTTGCACTACCATGTTGGTTGTCCACCAATCTTGAAATCTTTTCATGACCCCACTATGGCCAGTGAAAGGCACTAATTCGAAGCTAGAGAAGTCCTTTACAACCTTGATCATTGCTTCATGTAGCTTGGATTTTGGCACTTTCAAATTTATATTATCAAGATCAGAGTTAGAAAGGCTACTAAGAGGGACTGGGATCCCCTGAGTAAGCCCAAATTGCCTTGCAAGTTGGGTAGGGCTGTAAGCTTCAGCAATGCACTTGTAGGCCTTAGGGTTTAGGGTACCAATGAAGAGCTTCCTTGGAATTAAAATCGAGGCCCCACATCTCCTTATGAATAGGCTTGGAACATGTGGCACCAGCCAAGAAGGCCCTCAACCATGCTGGCCCCACAATAGCATTAAAGGGGTAGAAGAAGGAAGGGCGAATGGAGGTTGGTAGGTTGTAGAAGTAAGAAAAATAGTAAGCAAAACTGGAAGGGTACAAAGAAACTCTAGCATACTTCTCTCCGTAGGTAGTGGGCTCTTTCACCAAAAATTTCAAGCAGCGAGAATGGAAGTCAGTAAAGTAAGCAAAAAGCCAGAGTTGGAGAATCCAAATAAGGCCTCCTTGATTGGGTTCTTGAGGCCGTTCATAAAACTAAGAGCAAACCCTATACACGTGGCCTAGAACATAAGTGGCCAAGGCTATTCTCTTCTTCGAAGTCAGAGCCTTCGCAAGATGAATAAATTCAGGCATTATTTTTTCGGACGAGGTATAAAAAAGAAACTTACAAAGCCAATAAAGAATAAAAGAAAAGAATTCTCAGTCGGTCACAAGACCTTCCTTATTATTCTCAACTTCTATAAACTCACTATAAGAAGGATTCGAAGTAGGAATAGAGAAAGAAACCGTAAGGTTTGGGTAATTAGGACCAAAGTGGGTCACCAATGGGTAAGAACCCTAGAAGATGGCACATATCAAGAACGGTGGGGGCCATCATACCACACCAAAATTGAAAAAAAGTTAAAAGCAGAATTCCAAAAAGAAAAGAGCAACTGGGACAAGGAAGGGATTCTCAAGAATTATGAACCTGGAAAGTTTAAGGGCATCAAGAATACAGAGGTCCTCTAGATCTTGTTATCTGGCCCCAACGACTTTGTTATACAATTCCTCACATTCTGTCTTCAATGTGGGCTAGCAGCGATAGGGTCAAGTGGCCCTCCAACCTCCCCAGTTGAACTTTCCTTCATAAAGAAGGTAGTGATCCTCCAAGCGTGGGTACAAGGGAGGAAGTGTAGCAGGAGCCTCAGTAAAAATAAGGCCAAGGATATACTTCCCTTTTGTGTGGTGGCGAGGGATGAAGTACCTTCCATCGATTGCACTGTGGCCCTCTGGTTCATTATACTTGGCTATTTCTTCATTTATATATCTCCTCAAAGCCATCGAGGGACGAAGACGTTCGATGACTGGCAGGTTTGTAGAGGAAGAAGTAGCCATTGATGAGAGTTGAATGAGGGATTAAAGAAGTAAGAGCAAGGGTAGGAGGAACAAGAGCTAAAGTAAGCATAGAGGTGAGTAAGAGTGAGAGTAAGAGTTAAAAATGGACAAGTGAATAGGTAAGAGCGCACGAATTATAGCTTTATACCTTCTTGTCTAAGTTTCCCATTTAACCTAACGGGTCAAGTAGTTCCAAGCTATTTGGGTTTTATTTGACCCATATGGAGTTAGAGTCCATTTAACATTTTGAAGGCCTTGAAAGTACATTTTTTGACTTTCTACCAAGAAAATTTCCGTCGAAGAAACATTTTGCTACCTTTTGAGGAGGGAAAGTGTGCTTCGAAATGAATAGGTTACTTCGAAGCCAGTATTTGCTAATATGTTAATGAGTTTTGAGATTAAAAGGCCTGCATATTAGCATGTACAAACCATGAAATTGGAAAAAAAGAAACTCATATTTTAGGACTTTATACCTTCTTGTCTAAGTTGTCCATTTAACCTAACGGGTCAAGTAGTTCCAAGCTATTTGGGTTTTATTTGACCCATATGGAGTTAGGACCCATTTAACATTTTGAAGGTCATAAGAGTACATTTTTTGGATACCAAGGAAATTGCCTTTGAAGTGGCATTCTATTACCTATAAAGGAAAGAATGGATGCTTCGAAATTCTTCGAAATAAATGGGTTGCTTTGAAGCTAGCTTTTGCTAGTATGTTAACGAGTTTGAGATCAAAGACATGCATATTAACAAATACAAACCATGTAATTAGAAGGAAGAAACCCATATTTTATTAAGTAAATAAATTATTACACTGAGGGGCCTATTTGGTTACATTCTCAATTTCTTAAAAATAAGGAATGGAAAAGGTTACAAGGTCATGGAACTTAGTCCAGTAGAACTCAATGAATTTATGTTCTTGCTCTAACCTTTCCTCTATCCTATCTAATTGGGTCGTTCTAGCTAGTATGCCTTTATTTGGTAGAAAAACTGCTAGGCTTTCATCTCAAACTCTGTTTGCTTCAGTGCCTTCTCCACCTTGTCCATCCCATCCATATCAGCATCCTCTCCATATGCTGATTCATGGTTCTTGAAGTCTTTATATTCTTCAAGGAGATTCTCTGCTTCGTACTGGGTTTGAATACGAGTAGCAGAAATCTCTTCCAATGATTCGCTCGGGGCATTTTTATGCCAGTTGAGCAGGAGAGGGAGTTGGTCCAAGAATGTATGGAGTTTTGTTTAAGCCACTAGATTGAGGGTATGGCTTCGAGAGACTATATCACAAGCATGAAGGTTATTGTGAGAGATGTCATCTCGAAGCACTTCAAAAGACATGTAGGAGAAGGCAGCAAACAAAGTTTGGGGTTTATACTGTTGGTAGGCAGTGGAAAGAGCTGGGGCTTGGTATGGGGCAAAATGCCGGTCTTCAGAGAAGATGAGTTTCAATTCCTCAATCTAGTTAGGATTATGAGGAATGAGAGGTGCAGCTGGGTCCATTCCAAAAGAAGGTGGAAATTGGGGCTCATTCACACAATCTAGCCAATCAGAATAATAGAGTTTTGCCTTCTTGGCCAAGTGTAAGGGACTTAGTCCTAGAGCTTCAATTGGATTGGGAGTCTTCTGCAATATTTTTGTTGGTAGAGTGGAGGTATACCACACTGAAAGTAAGTTATCTTCCAGGCGGCAGAGGCAATCAAATGGTACATAAGGATATACCACTAAACTATGAGAAGATGGAAGAACCAAAGTAGGGTCATCGAATTCAACAAATCTACGGTAAATTCGCTCCCTTGTCTGAGGTTGGGTTGGTTGTGGCTAGATCTTCCAACTAGTAGCTGTCTCAAATGAGGAGATAGCCTCATCCCAAGTAAAAACCTTTGAGGCAGATGAAGAGCCTTCAAGGTCCATATGAGCAAGTTTTTGTTCTAAAGGTGTATATTCTACAAAAGCCTCTATGACTTGTATAAATGGAGGAGTGTAAGTATGGCTAATAAATGCATGAGAGTTTTATCGAGGTCAGCCATCATTGTCCAGAGCCTCTTCATATGATTGATAAATGAAGGAGAATGAGAAGGTTTGATTAGCCATCAAGGATGTATTAGTCTCTTCATTGGCACAGATAGTGTAAGTGAGGTTCAAGCACAAGAGGAAGTTTAATGTTTTAAGCGTTGCTTGAAGATGGTTATACTTCCAAAACAATTAATTACCATGCACGTCCTAGAACGTGGGCAGTAGTGCATCGATCCACTAATACTACCAACTCTTGGTTATATTAGTGCGGGAGGTAATGTTCGCCATATATTTTATATAAGCCAATCACAGCCTGACACGTGGTCCATCAAGGGTAACTTGAGGAATTAGTAAAGGTCTCCAGTCATCAGAGGACACGTGGCAAATTATATCAATGACAATGGATTTGCGAAGTACTGGAACAACCGAAATGAGAAAGGTGACGTGGCTAAACGGTTATTGAAGATTTAGATTTAAATTCAAATTCATGAGGGAAGCCCAACTGCAAGAAATGGTTTAGTGGAAGCAAAATGCTTGAAACAATGTCCCATGATTATGGAGGTTATTTTGATGGTTATCATCCACTTCAACGGTCATCAAGCCACTTCGACAGTTACTACTAGAGCATATAAATAGATGAGAAAGTTGATAGTGGATTTACTCTTTTTTTAGTTTTTATTTTCCCAATTATTTATTTTACAGTTCTTTACATTCCAGTCCTTTACTTTCTCGCACTGCATTTTAGTTTTCTAGGAGTAATTCTAAGTTAGTCTGTTCATGCTGTAATCCCCTTCAAGACAGTGGAAGTGTGAAGGTACATTTGTAAACATTGGTTTACTTAATGAAATTTATTTTCTGACACTATTCTCTCCCTTCTTTTTATACTTTTTGTGATTAGTTCTTCTGAATTTTCTCCTAAAACAAGTCACCGGTAAAAGTCATCTTTATTGAGGCTAAAAGAATTTTGAAATAATTGTCTGATTAATTAGTTGACATTTATTATTTTTGTAAGCATTTATTGATCTTTACTGACATACTCTAATTACATTTTCAACATTTGAAAGTCAAAAATAAACAAATAAAAACAAAAACAAAAATATAATCATTCATCATACATCCAAAAAAAATAATAATAATAAAGAATAAAGATCCTCACCACTATGTGGTGCCAAACAATATTTTCAAGACTCATTTTGTAGACCGGAGCCATAGGAGCCTTCAAATCTTATTTATTTATTTATTTATTTCATATTACTTAATTAATTCAGTACTAGTCAGAAGACGTCTATCGTATTAGAAAGTTTTTATTTTTAAATATATATATATTTTTTGTAAATGTCATTATTCAAAATTATTATTAGATATTTAAAATTATATATATATATATAACAATGGAAGGCTGATTTTGAATTCAAAATTGAAAATGTCTATGTGTCAAAATGTGAATCATCAGATTGCTTCAATCCAAGGGCTAAAAATGTCTCATTCTCATTTGTCCTACAATGACATTTCAATGGTTGAGATCAATTACCATCAACATCTAATGGTGCAAAATGTAAATCCCAAAATATCTCAAAATGCATCTCTCTCACACCTACTCCTCTCATCTCAAAATCTGTCTCTCCATTCCAAATTTCAAAATTTGAACACAGACCCTCTCTCCCCTCTCTCTCTCTCTCTCTCTCTCTCTCTCTCTCCAATTCTTTGTTTCCATTTCTCACTCCGACCACTCCAACCATTGTTCTCCTGCAGCTCGGTTGCCATTGTTCACTCCGGCAGATTGGTTTACTCTGACCGTCTAGCATCGCAAGGTTTAATCATTTCATCGAATTGTTTCATTGTGTTGGATTTGTGTGATTTTTTATTTTTGTTGATTAGGTATGTGTTTGGGTTTGTGTTTCTAAGATTTCAGTTTGTGTTTGTGTTTCTAATATTTATTTTTCTAAACCTTAAACTGATGTGTTTGGGTTTGGGTTTGTGTTAGGTTTGTGTGATTAGGTATGTGTTTGTGTTTCTAAGATTTGTTTTTCAAAACTTTAATCCATGTATTCAATGGAACCACACTTTGTAATGAAAACCAGAAAAAGTTGAAACAGAGCATTGAAAATTATTCAAATTTGTCAAAACTTCAAATTACAACTGCAAATTCATGGTAAGGAAATAATATATTCTCCGGCTGAGATGGTTCAAAGGACATTAACTAAACTATCACTGTTAAGGCTATTATGATTATTTTCTATTGATAAATGTTAACGCTATTATGATTATTCAAGTTATAGTCGGATAGGATGATCATAGAATTGATGTTATGAAATTTAAAGTTGACTTTCTTGTTTCATTCTTTTGGAATTAGGTAGAGGCTTTGAAATGTGCATTATCACTTGCAGCCTTGGTAAGAATCTGGAGAAATGAAGGCGTTACAGATGATAACAGGTCATTTCTTTCATCTCTTTCTCTCTATACATTATTGCTTTTTTCCTGTCCCTCAGTTTTGGAATATGTGAATCTGCTTTGGCTAAAACTATGTTCTTATACATGTCCTAATGCTATTAGGTTAAGTATGACATTGGATGAAGTTAGTGTATACCCCATACCTGCAGCACTTTACCTCATTAAAAATTTGCTTCAGGTAAGTTGCATTTCTTTTCTTTTTTTTCACAGGTGGCAGTGGCTTTGGCCTTCCTGATTTCTTAAACATGACTTTATCTGGCAGTATTACATCTTTTCTTGTTTGTGTTTTTGTATTTTCTTCTGTATTTTGGTGCATTGTTGCCAATAAAATCTCACAAAACCATGCAAAGGGACTCAAGATTCTGGGTTCAAAACAACACTTCAAGTTTTGCTTAATGCTTCTTGAGGACTTTTCTATAAATTAGTTTAAGCAATATGAGAACTTTCTTTAAGGTAATCCAATGTCAACACTCATTAACTTAGTTTAGAGTGCACATTATACATAGAGGCAAATTTAGATAAACAAGACAATAAGATTGACATATTTTTATAAGGATATTCAGGTGTTAAACCACCGAAGTAATAAGAACTCAATTGGTAGAAAATTTATAAATTACTTGAGTAGTGTTATTATATGAATTAGTTTAACAAGTGTACAATAGCTTTGATTTTTTCTTAATTGCAGAATAGTATTTCTTCCATAATGTTCACCAATATTACAAGTCAAAATAGTGAAATGTAGAGTAAAAACACATATAAAAGAAATATTATATAAAAAAACATATAATGCAAAATTTAGTATCCAAATGGGAATCAACAGTGGTGGCGACAAAGTGGAACTGTGCTTTCCTTTCACTTTTTCCAGCAGGTTTCAATATTGTGTTTGTTACTCTAAATCAGTATTTGCAGATATATACAAATGTGTGTATATATATATATATATATATATATATGTAATTATACAATCGATTTTATTGATGAAGGCACAATCTTGAATTTATTTTTGTTGACTTTGGTCTTAAAGTAACTCCCATAGTCCATATTGAAACACCTTCAGCCTTTTTCACATAGTCCATGTTTAGGAATCTATTATGTTTTTCCTGTGTATAATACAAATATTACAAATAGCCAAATAATTTTGAGAAATAAATAAATTGAACCAACCTTATCAACTATGACAGTTGATAGTGATCACCTACGAATCCTCCTTTTCCTTCTTTAACTCCAACGACACAAACCAAGTCAAAGAAAACAATCTCAAAAGAAAGAAAATAAAATTGTATGGGCAAATTACACATATCTCACTTGACAATTATCCTTTTACCTTTTTTCCTTTGTTGTTTTATGATTGATTTTCAGATAAACTATATTTGATGAAATGGTTGA